TTTTCTTTTCTTCTTCTTAATCTCCGCTTCTCTTGCGTTTTCGGTTTTTTGTCGAAGGCGCTTCTTCTCGTCGTCGTTGTTTTCGTTTGCTCTTTATTTTTTATTATTTGTTTTGTTTTTGTTTTCGTTGTTCTTCCGGCGAATGGTAGAAACTGGTTGGAAAATGCGATGTTTGCGGTAAATGATTTTCTCTATCCGAGGAGTCCGGCTTGTGTGTAAGATCAACAATTTGTATAGCATACTAGGAGGACAGGTGTCTGCACGGTGGCTTCGGTTCTTGGGGCTCCGAGGGGTCGGAGGGGGGACCACGGGGGCCCACAGATACGGCTACTACCTGTTCCCCTCCAACGAGCACACAGAGAGCGAGCTACGTCCTCTGGTTCGGTACTCTCCAACAAACAGTGCTCGCTCGCAATGGAACCAGTGATAATGGTAGTAGTACTGCCGCAGCAACGTTAAAGTTTCGTGCGCGTTTTCCGCCCGTTGCACTTCCTACCTTTTCCATCAACATCCGGACTTCCGGTACACCCCCACAGCCCGGACGCAGCTCGCGAGTTCCCCCACAAACGATGCCGCGACATGGGAACGTCTCCTAACTGTTGTTTCCATTGGGAAAGTTTCTTTCATCCCACATAACATTTACTACGTTCAAGGTTGTTTTGGATTTATTTCATACCATTAAAATGTGTTATTTGCTTCATCGGAGATCAATGGCATTTGGATGCACCTAGGTGAGTTTAAAGAAACGACCACGCTCAGTATCAACGACCAGAACGCAAACCGTACCTGGTGAAAATCAAGCAGATTCGTAAATAAAACGAATCAGCCAACGGCTCAGAACCACACACATACAAACACAAATACATACATATATATACACGCATACACATATACAATCAAGTTTCTGTCGATTTCACATTTTACCTTATACAGCACACCTCCGTGCGAATCGAAATAAACGTATACAGACAAACGCCTAGGAGGCAAAACCACAAACAAGAAAACGGTAACAAGAAGCGACGATTTTCCTCGGTTTTCCACAGAAGAATGCGCCAGGTCTTCGATCCATCCTCGGGCTTGTTTGCCCGTCGCGCTCTTCATTCCATAACATAAACAAACATATGCTCGCCTTTAAATTGGCCGCATTTAAATCTCTTGCAATATGCAGGGAGCTAATCTCGGGGCGACAAAAACATTCCGCCCCGAGATGAAACGGAGGAGTCCCTCGAAGCCATTCGAGCGATGGACAATGGCAACACTCTTTTGTCTATGTTGTTTTCTTTTTTTTGTTTGTCTCTCTATGTGTGTGCATTACACAAAGTAACATCTATGCATTTTAATTAGCACTTTTAATGGGGATCACGTGGCCCCACTGAACAGAACATGAACATGTCCGACGTGCCTTGCAAATGATTAAGCCCCAAACCAAACACACCTATCTGAAATTGAAAAGAGCGGAAAAATGAAATATCGTGTCTCTGTGTATGGAAAAGTCGCTTCTTATCGTTGGCTCTATTTACCGCTCTGTATACTGTACAAACTACTGATCGATAACATATTATCAACATCAATTCTCCTGCTCGTAGATACCATTTTAATATAGTTCCGTTAAGCACACTTTTATTTACTTTACACTCTTACCTACAAAGTTTCCAAATAGATATCATTTAAAATCCAATATCATGAGAATCCATTCGGAGAACTAGTTCTGAAAACTAATAATAATGTGCATTGTCCAATCAAAAATTAAAGATTATTATTTGCAATTTGACTACAAATATTTCAATATAATTCAAAACTAAAAATCAAGAGACAAATATTTAAATTATTAATTACATCATAGAAATTACAACTTTTTTTTTCATTTGACATTAAATTACAATTTACATTTTCGTTTTTATTTAAATGTCGCTTCTAACCATCTCAAATTAAATTAAAATTGCTAAAAAATATAAATATTACATAATGTTCTAAATATTATACATACTGGAAATATAAATTAATACATATAACAAATATACAATTATGATTCTTCCACATAAATTTCGCTTTTAGTGGAACAAATGAAACATAATACTATACAATGTAATCTATTGCAGATACATTTTTTCCATTGTCTCTTTTTTTGTATATACAATAATGTATTTTTAAGTACTGATCCAATTGTTTATTTTTTTAGTACTAGAAACTTATTCATAATCATGAAAAATTTGTACAAAACAATCACCAACTTAAGTCTGGTCTTTCCAGGATTCACATAACGGCATCCTTTTTCGAGGCATTGTTAGTCCGGCTTACACATGAATCACCCGTGAATCTTCTACACTTTGTCTTTTTATCCTTGAATTTCGTGTCAAACTTTTCGATTCTCTGAATAATTTTATCGTTTTGTTTTTTTCTTATAGAAATATTTATGTCGAATATTAATTTCATTTGAACATTCAAACATTGTTTTACAAAAGTCGCAGCTCCACAATTTTAGTTCTTATTTTATGTTTAATTAATAAATTTTCCAAATTATATCCAAAAAAATAATAAATAAAATTATTATATAAATAACCTAATTTATTGTCAATAAGTATTGACGGAATAATGGATTGGAAAAAATATGTGTTATCCAACTAAAGCAGTGTTTTCTAACCTTTTTTGTGTTATGTAACACGGTTAAACTCATTTTCGAATTGTCCCCTTGTGGGAAACACTGAACTAGAGGAATGTGACACTGTCACATAGTGATTAGTGAATACACGTGTTTGTCTTTGGTTGTAGACACCAGGAATCGAATCATTAGTTCATTTAATTTGAATAACTAATTACTGTTGTTGTTGTTTAATCATTAAGTCACACAGTCACACACACGGCGTCCGGTCATATGCCCTTTTATGTAACTGCTGCGATGTTGTTATATAACATAATTATTACCTGCGTCTAATAATCGAGCGAGCTGGTTTGGTCAATAAGCCCATGCACGAAAACGTGTATTATGAAATACATTTTTACGTGTACGCTCGATTATGCAACAGCCCCGCTTATTATATGCACACAGCTTCGTATAATTACCGTTCAAAGGAGTGTTTTGTTTTTCTATTTTTTTTTATGCAAAAGCAAAATTTTTGTTAAAAAGTTTATTTTTTAAATATAAATTTTAATTAATGTTGATTGACGTCAATCTGCTAATAGGTAAACATGTGTCAAAATGAAAATTTCACTTTCTTAATAATTCTCAATCAAATCAAATTAATTTAATTAAAATCAAATTATAAGACCATATGGAATACGAACGTAAAAACAATATCACTAATTTTAATGGTCTCAAAGTACGAAACAAATATAAAGCTTGTCCTGCAAGTTATGTTTTTATGGTTATTATAACCAATAATGCCTAATTAGCTCTGCCGCTGCAATAATCGTGTTTACATTGAGCAGTTAATACATAAACATTTTTTTTTATTATTGTTTGATGTGCTAATTTCAACAGTTTTTCGCGGTTTCCTTTATGTATTTATATATATTTTTTAATCAACAGGCAATTACGCCATTGCAGTAACATAACTAATCGTCAAAACGCAATTACGGAAAGCAATTAGTGTCAGTTCAATTAATTTTTCATTTTCAACGCACAAATTGGAATCTTTTGACAAATCGTTGTCATTCCAACGCTGCTCCAGCCAGATCCAACTGCTGCGTTACGTAAGTTCTCAATATCAAATTCATAATTACTTAACTATTTTTTGTCCACTTATTACCAAAATTTCTTAAACTATTTTAATTGGAGAACATTTTTTTTATCCTTATCAAAATAAAATGAAATAATTGTAATTTTTATGTAATAAAATTATTGTAAAATAAAATTGTTACATTAATGTTTTTTTTGTATGAAAAAGTAAATTGAATGAAATGGAAAAACGTTTCGAAGGAATGATTTGATCAAGCTGGAGCTCGGTTTTATTCAAATTCCATAGTTGCTAAAAATAAAGCAATAAATTTAGTATATTCGGAATGGCTGTAGGTTTAATTTGCGTATTCACGGCTCCAAATCGCTTCAGTGATTCTGTTGAAAAAGTCAAACAGCGAAACGCGTCGATTTTTTTTTAAATGCTTTAAATTTTATTAAGTGGACAGATAGTATAGAGGTGCTGGAATTCGGTGTGTTACAAAGTAATTCTGGCCGGAGTTAACCTTGAATGAAATTTCTGAGAGAAAACGATAGAACGGTTAATCGAGAAGCCAAGGAATAACAACCACGAACGCAAAAAAAAATATATAAAAGTACAATAAAAATAATAACGTAGAGGAATAGAAAGCAAGTCGAATGGAAGAAATGATACTTCTTCATTCATTGATATTGTTTTTTTTTTGAAATGCTGAAGGGTAATGACCGTGACGCAAGAACGTCTAAATATATCGAGAACATGGACATTAGAGGAGCTCTTCGCTGGTTGTTCACAGGTTGTCCTAGGTTAGCGAATATAATACCGGGGAAACCTGCACGGGAGTGTCAGGTTACGGAATCCGAAGGGCTTCCCTGCAGAACCCTCGACGTCGTACATCGCAACGGCAGCTCCTCAGATCTAGTCCAAGTTCTCTCTGTCCCGAAATAAACTTTAAGTATAACGCGCGTACTAAATACCCGAATTACTTAATCGAAACCAAAAAAGATAATGCACAAACTATAAATTACATAAAATATGCAGGAGGATACACCGAAAACGTAAGTTTAAGACGGCCGCCATTAAATTCTCCAAGTAAACTATTTGTTTTGCGCAACGGGTCGGCCGTGACTTCATGCCAATGGTATTTTATGCACTATCCGTAACGTAATACCATTTATAATGCTTATTATTATTATTATTTTATTTTAGCGCTAGTTCTCTTTTCAAATGTATGCATACAGACGTACACATGTTGGTGAGTTTGCTGATGCTGTGGTTAAGCTAGGTGCGCGTCATTGATTCATGACCTCCGCCGATGTTTGATCAATAATGTAAGTGATTCTAGCATGGGGTGGTTGTCATCTTTGTTTGTTTGTTTTTGTTTTAAAACCGAAATTACCGTGTACGAGCAGGGGTTGAAGTCCCCTGCGCCAAGGGTTGTACGCCGATCCGGACCGGTATAAATCAGTACGTAGTAAGGGAGGACGTCGCGGCGCCGGCGTCGTCCACCCCGACAGTAACCCCAAATAAGGAACCGAATTCCAACTGAAATCAGCCCCAATATGTAGCCATCGAAATCCGCAATTCGGAAGCGTGTTTCTCGGGGGTGGTTGGTGATCGAAACCTGATCAAATCGGTGGTGGTGCGTTTGTGTACGTGATGCGTGTGCATTGTTGAATGTGTGTATGTGTGAGTGTGATAATGCGTGGGTGTGTATTTTTAGCGATGCAACGGCGATATCCATTATTTATTCCGTGCGCTACCATTGTGACCTACATCAACGTGTAGAATTCGAAATGTCCAACATGGGGCTTCGGAATAGGAGCGTCTATTTGCGTCCCAACTAACCCATCAAAGCGCCTCAATGCTAATCGAGGACGTCCTATAAATAAATAAGGAAGAGAGAAAGATATAGAGCTAGAGCGAAAAGGGAGCTAGAGTAGAAAACGGAGAAGGAAACTGCAAAAGAAAACAAATAACACACAAAAAAATATATATAGCGGGGAACAAATTATAAATAAAACAAATTAAAGATGTTCTCGTGTCTGTGGCACTTGTGGGATTGGTAATTAAATTTTATCTCTTTACGTATAGCGTGTTGACGGGTGTTTAATGCGTGAGCGGACGCTCCTAATCGTGGCACGTTTCTTGCGTTCCCTAGGTTGGATCCCACAAGTATGGAAAGCAAAAAGGGTGCATTCCAGAACCCGTCGCTAATCCAATCAACAGGAAACGATGTCCCCCTTGAATCGATCCCGAAGCACCAGCACAACACGGCGCCCCAGCACCTGCGGCTCCTCCAGTACGGCCTGAAGATCCCATCGAACAGCCAACATCAGCACCAAATAAACAACCAAACCCTTCAACACCAGCATCTCCACCAGTTTCCTCAACAGGGCCACAGGCATCCGCCGCCCCAGTTTAACACCAACATTCATCCGAATCCGATGCACCAGCACTTCAACCAACCATCCAACCAACAGTATATTCTGTACCAGAAAACCAAAAACCAGCCGATCTATCAATCCAACTCGAACCAATCCCTGCATCCGCACAATCCTCTGAACGCACCGAATCCCCAAATCTGGGTGCCTCACCAGCCGCCCGTACATTACCACCAGCAGAAAACGGAAGCGCAACAGATCCCCAACCAAAACAAACAGCCGAAAGAGCCCATCGAGAGGAAGAGAAGCCAGCATAATTCACAACAGCTCAGATCGCCATCAGCGAAGCGGCCGCTCGATGCGCCCGTCACCCTCCAAGGTTGGCTCCACAAACAAGGATCCGAAGGGCTTATGCTCTGGAAGAAGCGCTGGTTCGTGCTTTCCGAATACTGCCTCTTCTACTATAAAGGTATTTTCATTCAAACCCAATAGATGCCTTACAATACGATCATTCGCAAGTGATTTAAATAATCTCTCTAATTAATTTTAAAATAAATCGGTTCAGTTATTACATTCATATATTTAGAGTTAGATGATAATAATTTTAATTATTTTAATATATGTATGATGCAAATTTAAATTAGTAAAATCACCAGTGATAGAGCGTATGTTTAAAGGCAGTTCGTATTTAAAGCTAGCTCTAACGCAAAGAAAACCAAAACGTTAAACTCAGGTCCAGAGGAAGAAAAATTACTAGGTTCAATATTACTGCCATCTTATAAAGTATCCATATGCAGTCCCGACGACAGAGTCAATAAAAAGTTTGCCTTCAAATGTGAACACACTAATATGCGGACATATATATTAGCGGCCGATTCACAAGAACTAATGATGCAATGGATACGAGTCCTTAATTTAGCCTGTCTTTTACAAACAAACGTGTAAGTATAATAACAGAAAATTAAAATGAAAGACAAATACTAAGCGAGAATCGAACAAAACACAAAAACATTTGCAGAGATTCTGAAGTTTCTATAATGAATACCTCATCGTCGACTTTCCAATCGAACGAGAACTCCGATTCTGGGTTCAATCAACAGTACAATAACAGTAGGAACACTCCAATTCACATGCATTCGTCAAGCAATACGACAGATCAAAGTAATCCGAGCCAAGATTTGAGTCAATATAACCAGCCTTTGTATGCCAACGCACCGCCGAAGCCTCGTAGATTGACAGACGGATACCAATCGCCTAGTCCCGATGTCTTAGACAGATACAACGAACCCAAGTATGTCACCCTGCAGCCGACTTACAACATCCAGAGGAGTGTCACCAAATCACCTTCCGTGAACATTTATGGTAATCAAGAATACACATCGAGAAATGAGCACATGAGCCAGCATTTAGTACAAAACGCCGAACGAAGAACACCGGACACGTATGGCCGATCGAAGTCCCATCCCGCTAGAGGTCGATACCCCTCAGATTACGAAGACATTTATGCGGAGCAGTACATGTACAAAAGACCTCTAAGCCCTCTGGCTTATAATAATATTAAGAAAACTACCCCAACAGTCACGCCGATACAAAGAACATACACCCCCGTTTCCATGTTAGGACCTAAGGATATCCAGTACGTTCCGCCATTAAGGAAGTCTCCTAGCTCAGTGCCTAGACCTCATAGTGCCGACTTTCTTGAATATGAAGTCAATCACCCTCAAAACACTACCTCTGTCACCAGACAACCGAGGCCGAAATCGAGTCTAGATATCAATAGGAATACCAACGACAATTACTTCTACTCGGAGGAGAACTACGCAGATAAAATGCGGAAAAGTGCTCAGTACTTGCCAAAAATGCCTAAGTATCCGGCACGTCCGGAAAACGAGAATAATTTTCCTTTAATGCGGTCGAACACACAGCCCATGCGCCAGAATCCTCCTCTGGACTATGCTCGGAAGGAGTCGCAACCAGCGCGTAGTCGGAGCGTCCTCAGCGAAGGTTCACTATCGAAAGAACTCGACGTCGAACTTAGAACAAGTCCGCAAGAAAGATTCCGCGAAACATTGAGTCCAACTCAAGACTTGTACGGATATACAGATGATAGATTGAGGGACTATGATCCTTTCACTAGATCGGCCAGCGCTAGATTAGCTAACATTGAGCAAAGATTGCAAGGCGATGGACGAGCAAGCATCAACAAAGAAGGTGAACGAAAGGTAATTAACAAGGGGATTTGAATGATTTCAATCATACTAATTAAACTATTTTCAAAAGCGCGAGGAGTCGATGAAAAGATTACTCGAATGGAAACAACGAATGCTTCAATCACCTTTGAACAGAAAGATGAATCAAAATATTAAAGGTGGAAAAAGTGAATTGTACTACAAAACGCAGGAGAACGGCTACACCAACCATAAAGGAGTCGCGGACGGTTTCATCGACAGAAGACCCTCAAATCCTTTTCCGCAATATAATAGCTATTCATCGGACGACGAAGGTGAGAATAACATTGGCTTGAATATTATCTTAAGTAGTTTGTTAGCATAAGCATTCAAAAGATTGAGAATCTCAAAATAAGCAAAATTGATTTTCTATGATTCTCAATCTATTGATGTGAGTATTAATTTTTGGTGGTTTAGTTTGGGTTAGATTCTGTCTAAATTGGTCCTTCCTGCCTGGAACAACTTGGGTCTCAACTACTACTCTGTTACTAACATTTCGGTGGTAACTTTTTAACTTTCAAACACACTTAAATACTAACAAAAGGATTATATATTAATATTAAAAAACTTGGAGAAAAAACATACACACAATACAAAATAAAATACAAATTTATTAAAAGGAAATGTTGCTGTTTTAAAACTTATGTATAAATTTAAAATTTTTGTGCTCGGTTCAGAAAATGTGGACAGAAGCAAAGAAACTATGCAGGCAGGACGGACCTTGGACACATTGTCAACAGAAACTGCACCCTACACCTCTATTCCTGTATTAGACTCTCAAACTGACACACCTATTAAGCACGACACACATAGCACAACAGCCAAAGAGAACGTAGACAATACATTCACCAAACCACTGAAACTCTATAATAAAGAAGCACCTAACATAGCACACGTCTCGAGTCTACGGTCCGAGTATTCTGAAAAATTTGAACAAAGTCCTGTAGTCACGGAAATTAAAAGCAACGGAGCGCTTGTCAAAAGTATTTTAGCAGAGTTCGAAAAGAAAGATCCCACTGAAGATGAGCATATACCTGCAACGCCTACTAAAGACATTGAGACTGTCATTGAAGAGAACTATATGACTATGACACCAAGAAAGAGTGTATTAGACGCCAATAACTCCAAGATATTGGATACGATTAATTTAGAACTGGATGAAAATCCTTACGTTGAGATGACTCAGGGCATAAATGCTTCTTTGTTAGATCCTAACAATACACTTAACATCGATCACCAACCATACGAAATGATCTGCTTCTCTGGAGGTCAAATGGAACCGCTCTACATGGAACTGCATCATCCTAAAAAGGTTCAAGTATTAGATTCGAAAGACTCGTTTAAAAAGCCAGAGCTTCCTGATATCTTACTACCTTCTCAGAGCTCGAAAAGCACGAAGTCTGATAGCTCTGACGCTGACGATGAAGCTTCCAAAGATTTAGAGTCTCTAGACACTCCAAGTCATCCTAGATTCAGTCTTTCCGATACATTTAGACCGGCCTCTTATTATTTAGGTGCGAGCCAGACCGTTCCGGAACTTCAAGATAGTTCAGACAGTGAATTAGTTTCACCACCTCCGATTCCGAGGTCACCGCCGCCTTTAGAAGATCTTGAAGGCGAGGCTAATAATCACAAGTTCAGATACTCTAAGAGAAACTCCGATCAATACTTTAATGATAAGCACGTTTTCTTGAAAGGAAGCACGCAATCTCTGGACGTGAAGAAACGAAGCTTCTTATCGTTGAATTCCTTTAAGGATCAGGACACTTCGTCCATATGCAGCGCAAATACCGATCCCGAAACTAGGTTCAGCAGACTGTCGCATAACAGCAATTCAGATGTGGAGTTGCGAACGCAGAGTGATTACGAGAGAATGTTAAAAAGGCGGCCCGTTTCTGAGGAATTTTGCGATGAACTAGAATCGCTGAATAGCGGCTTCAATAAGACCATAGACAGCGTCGATCTGGACAAATACCTGCAAGAATTGCAGATCAACAACTTGAACGCAAGCGATTCTAAAGACATGAGGAATTTCATTGTGGCCAACACCGAAAAGCAGTTCCACGATTACGAGAATCTGTGCATAATGAATGACAATAAAGACAACTCTCTGTTGAGCAACATTTCTGCATTGTCACCGATATCAATGCATACGCACAGCCGGGATAATTCCAGAGACACGGCCATTAGCCATGCGACTGCAAATACCTTCCAATCGGACAATAGTGATCGCAGATCGATCGTTTCATCAGATTTTATACAAAGAGGTAGACCAGAAAGCAGCGCATCGACAGCGGCAGAGATTAGCGGATTCCTGCAGAACTCCAGCAGATCGACTCCAATTATAAGGATCAGCAGTTCAATGAGCACCCAAGAAATTCCACCTATTTACTTCTCGGATCGAGACACCAACGTGAACGCCTCCCTCAACCAACCCGCGCCTTATTACTATTCAGACCTCTCAATGAATACCTCCAACACGGAGAATAGCTCAATTTTGACTTTAAACAATCAGCGCGGAGCTATGAATGGCAAACGCGATATAACGCACATAATTAATCCGATCCGATGCAACAGTCGTTTAAGGAACAGTCACTCTCCTCGTCAGAAACTTATGGACAATACTTTTAAGTTAGCGGCAGAAGCGAGGTCAGTGAGTGTGGATTTTCTGAATTTAACCGACAAATCTGGACATATTGATAAAAAGAATATTTACGAATCTGATACACTTAAACGTCTGAAAGTAATGGATTCCGTTTCGAGCTTACAGTCGAGTCCGGAAACTAGAAACTTATATCCTAGCACGACAAACGAGAAGTTCAACTCGGGCTCAATGTCTAACGATTTGAACGTAAGACGTACGCATAGTTTAGAAGGACTTTTGGAGAACGTTTTGAACGAAACTGAAAGCCTGCAGACTAGCCAACAAACGGAAGAACCGGACACAAATACAGAAGGAAGTTATTTATGGGAGGAAGATTCAATTTGGAGGGAACGTTTGAGAAGTGCTAGCCAAAGACACACGAAGTCTTTAGATGATTTGGACTGCATCGGTGATCCGAAGAAGACACCTAAGAAGGCAACGCGCGCCATCACTAGAGACGTGACTTACGTTAACGATAACATTTACAACATGCCTCTGCAAGACAAGCAGCAGAAGTACTTGAAGGAGGGCAAAGGAAACAGTAGCTTCACAATTGATAGGGAAAAACTGAGACAGTGGGATCTAATGTCTAGTGCTCCGTCGGATTCGCAAGCTTCTTTACAAGGCGTTAATAGTGCGAGAGTTAATACAGAAGTAGATGCAGGTGATAGAAATAGAACATCTGATCCAGACTCTCAAGAACCAGGTACAAATTTCAATTTTTAGGTACTGTATAAACTGTATATATATATTAATTAAGTTCAAGTCATTCTTTTCATTCTTGCTCTTAAGATTTTTTTTTTAATCTCAAAAAAATATAACAGGCACTTTGAGAACGAAAATATAAAGAAAAGAAAATTAGTTATTTAGTATATTTCTATATATTTTTCCATCCAATAAACGCTATTTTCTTTTTCTGTTGACTCCGTTTGTAGCTTCGGGATCTGTATCTCTTAACGCCAGAGATACCTTTCCAAGGAACGTCCCGACGAAACGCTTATGGCCTTTAAACTCCCAAACAATGCAATCTAAGTCTTCTACGAATATTAATCGCAGTCACGAAAGTGATTATTCAATGTGAGTACACCGACCGCTTCAGTTCGCAAACATTATACAAATCCGTTTCAGCTCCAGCAGGCAAGGATTTTATCCCTCGCAGCACGACATTAGTTCGGAGAGCAGTCGCAAAGTAAGTAATGCTTATTGCACACGATATTTCACTTTCCTCTTGTATCGTTTCGTGTTATTCAAAAATGACCCATTGCAACATCTAGGTGAATTGGAACGAGAACGTGTCAGCCGGTGATCTCCTAGGAAGAACCCACGAGGAATTAGTATTATTGTTGATTCAGTTGCGTAGACAGAGCACCAATACTTGCCATTCAATCGAAGCTTGTTATAATGAAATTGATTCCATCCAGGTCTGATTTATTTCTAGCACTACTCTAATCCGAATAGTAAATCTGTCGCTCACTAATCCGTCTTCGAGCTTACATAACTATCTTCCGGTGAAACATTAACGATCTGGCGAATTATAATGCAGCTAATCTCATTCTGCTGCTTTTTTGTGTGTGCTCTTACATAAATTTACATTTCTTGCAGGCACAATTACATTTAATGGACGCGGCGAAAAGGCTTGAGAACCTGCAGAAATTGGAACAAATAAAGCAGCACCTGTTAGAACTGGAAAAACAGGTAACATAAAGTCAGGCATTTGTCGTGTGAACATTACTTAGTTGATGCATTTTATTTCAGTATGAAAAGGGGAAACCTCTAGTTAATTTGGTTGATAATATGGTGAAGCTGGGCTCTTTGTACCGATCACCGAACGACAAATCCAACCAGAATCCATATATGAGGGACCGCTTGGAGTTCAATCAACAGGTACAAGAGAGGAGGTTGCTAGCAGAAGAAAGAAGGGATTGGAACCGTTTGAATCCCAACCATACGCAGCTTCAAGAAAAAGTGCAGCAGTTGTATCAACTGGATCGTTTGATTCAAGAAGAATCGGGCACGTTGCAAAGTTTGCAACAGGATAAGGAAGAAATTGAAAGAGCTTTGGGCGGTCTACGATTACGTCTGACTCAAGGGTATAATGATCCTGCTGTGATTAAGCAGGCAAGGAAACAGCAAGCCATCCTTGAAAATGAACTAAGTAGGGTACATTTAATGTTAGCTCAGAACTCCAAAAAACTAGAGGAAACCGTTGCAGGAAACGCAAGGCTAGAACAGGAGCTCTTGGTATTGAAACAAAAACTCCAAATATCCAGGCAAAATAGATCTTCACCACAATGTTCAAACGCAGGTAAGTTAATTAATGTTTTTTTTATTTAATTAGTTGCTTTGACTAATATAGTTTTATTAGGAGATAGTTTACCTTGCGTTGTTGGAACGAGCGCGATGCTCGAGTCCGATCTACAAAAGGTACAGCAGAAGGTTGGCGACTTGCAAAGGCAGAGGCAAGAATTATGTATGCAAGTGAGACAGCTCACGGATCGTTCTAATAACCTTCAACAGCAGATAAAACCGTTTTCCTTGCCGAACGCGCAGAGCAATCAAGGTAAGTGTTTGCAACTACAATTATCATAACTCGAGATTACCACGACTTCAAAACCAGCTTTAGGCAATAAGAAGAAAATGCAATCGCTGTGGAGAGAAACGGACCTGGATACGATGAATATCACGGATCACGGCGATTCCTGGGATTCTTCGACTCCGCTCTCAACAACGCCGCTCTATATAAATACAGCGGAATCAGACTTCTATAATCGCAGTCTGCAGAGCGACTCCACCAGCGAGGATACCAGTCAGAATATGATTCCGCAGGAGAAGCAGGAAATAAAGACGGTGAGGATTGTCAAGAGGGAATCGGAACGGCGTCAACGGGATCGTGAAAAGATCGTGACTGGAAAATGGGATCCGGTTGCTGAAGAAGAGGAAATTTCTAGTTTGGCACGACAGAAGACGCAGAGCAGTACTAATATTGTGGTTGCGCCACCGCCGACTGCAAATACAGAAACTGATACTAAAGAGAAGTCGCCGGAATTATCACCGGTTTTCCAAAGTGAAGCTGCTAGGCAAATTATCACGGAAATGTCGACTAGCGATTCACCGAAACAAGTTAATAGAAGAGCCGTGCCGAAAGAAAAGCGTCGCCATTACACCGCACCTCACAACAATCTCATCATGAAGAGCTTGAATCAATTACCCACCGAGGAGAATACATTCGAGAAAGCGCACGCTAGAAGAGCTAGAGATGATTTGGACATGGAAAGAGCTCTGAGACAGAGGATAGACGCACCAGACGTAGTTAGATCAACTTTGAGTAATAAAGAGTTAAAGTATAACGAGAATACAATTGACAATCTATTGGGAACACCGAATAAAATCAGCATCCCCGAGAGGTACATCCCTGAGCAGCTCCCAGAGATTTCGGCGGAAGAGCAGGAGCACAGGTTGCGTAAAGTAGAGTCGATCAAGAAGATGCTTTCGGATACCACCATCATCAATTCGAGCACACCGAATTTGACCGGCGAGGAGAACGACGAGAACACTCCGGGCGTTGCCAACAAGGCGACCAGCAAGATGATTGAGGAGAAGAAGCAACGCGAGCACCTCCTGCAGCTGAACCAGATCCTCGCCAAGCAAGTCATGGAGATGAGCAAAATCGTGGCAGGTTAGTGCTTGCGTAGCTGAGTTCTAGTGAGATTTTGCCAGTGACCGCATGGTATCATTACAGTATTGACTTGCCTTAATCGTTTGTGCTTAGCATCTGTTTATGTGTTTATTTGTACCTTAGGTTCCAACAATCCAGGTGAACAATGAATGCCGTTTGCCCGTTAGTTTAAGGTGTGTTCACATTTCATTTAGCACGATTCTCTTAATTCAAATAACAATCAGTTTGTCTGTCGATGCATTAAGTTCATTCATTTAATGAGACTTCGAACGCTACTTCTAGAATCTCCAAAATATATGTTTGATTTGTATCTAGCCATGGGTCAATTCGATTCTATGCTACAAGAGGTGACAATTTCATTTTTTTATGCTGCATTGTTAATTATTTTACTTAATGTTTGAAACCCGCCTACAAGAGAAATTTCGCGTCAGTGGAGCCAGTGGAACAGAGATAACCACGTAATTTGAATACAATAGACTCCTATCTTTGAACTTCCTTCGGAACGGTATACGAAACAAAATACATACGAGGTGTTCTATGCCAGAAGTTATTAGGCATGCTTAGATGACTCTGGACAAACATTTTAAATTCAAATGGTATAAAAATAAAATGCATGAATAGCAACAGCATACATACATTTGATACAAACACGAATACGTTTATTGCAAAATAAGAGCTTATACAAATGTGTACCTTGGCGTTAAGCTCATAAAATGCAATGATTTATTTCATTTACAAATGACAGCAACATGCATGTTTTTTTAAATTGATTTTGCGAGATTCTAAGAATTTTTCCAAGTATTTTATGAATATAAAGTAATGATTAATCATACAATTGTTATTTTGTTTTTTTATTGCTAGTGAAAGCTTTGGCTAAGTTACCACTGCAACCGCAACAGGTGACTTCCGAGGATGATGATCAATCGCCGGTGACTCCACTCCCACTCTATCAGCAGCGTGATAATTTTTATAGTTAATATATTTTGTTGAAATAATGAAATTGTTAATATTGGTTGTACAAATTTTAAAGGTTGTGTTCAAGTTTGGCCTATCGTACATTATAAAGCAACGTTGACTTGGGGTTAAAGGAACTGAAGAAAAGATGCGAAAGCGGATTCGTCGTTCTAATTGAATTTGTAAAGTTTTTATTCATTTAAGTTATTTATTATTAGTAAAAAGAGGAAAAACAAAAAACATAACAATATTATAACATGTACGACTTAAAGAACTGAGTGCCAGACAATAAGTATTATTGTAAATTTTTTTCTTTGTATTATATTATATAATTGAAGTTTAATTTATGAAATTGTAATTTATATTGCTCAAAATAGTGTACATTCTATTATTATTATTTTTTATATATTTGTTTTTTTTTTGTATGATTTTTTTAACATAATGATTTCATTTCTAGAAGGTGAAGGTGATTAACAATGCAAGTTATCACAGAAGTTCTGAAAGCAGATTAAGAGAAGGAAAACAGTAACAATATATTATATAAATAATAAAAAAAATATATGAAGAAAGAAAGATAAAAAAAAATTAATAACCAGAATAGTTCCTTTTGTTGGAGTAATTGTCTGTAGCAAAAATTTAGCGAATTTATAATCACCTTATTATCAGATTATGGCAATTCAACTTTTTTTTTAATGTACAAGAAATGTAATCCAATAATTAAACATTTATCGGCTTTTTCCTTGGTTTACGTAGTTTCTACGTTTCTGGACCGTCGTCTTCATTTATTGTTGTTCCCCAAATACTATACTACCCATGTTTGAAGATTTTCACACATGTTTCAACGACAAAACTTACGCGATGTGACAAACATCACGTAATGATGAATTCTAGAAATTAATAAATTATAGCCAAAATATATTTTCTAAATTGAGACCAAAATGTAATAGTTACATAAGTAACTCTGATAAATATTTTTTATTCAAGTATCTGTATATCTAAATGGATATATTTAACAGGAATTTTAGAGAAATGAAAACAATAGAATTTTATCCAGAATATATATTAATTTCATCAACAAGTATAAATATTAAATGAGCTATTGAGGTTTATTATTTTCAATATTTCAAAACAAGTAGTATAAATATGTAACTGAACTGTTATCAGTTCAAGCAATGTTCCTTTTACAAACAATTACTTGCTCTTTCCTTGATTGGCAACAGCTTCCATTGCCTTCTTTACAGTCTCTGGGTCTCCCAGGAATTTCATACTGCCACCAGGAATTGGGTTTAAATCAGCATCCAAAGTATAGGTGAATGGTATACCAGTAGGTAAATTCAATCCCATGATGTCCTCATCAGACATTTCTGAAAGTTAAATGAGTATAGCAAACAAAACAAAGACAAACAACTTCAATTAACATACTATCTAAGTGCTTGACAATTCCACGTAAGCTGTTGCCATGAGCAGCAATGAGAATCTGACTGCCCTTCTTAATCTCTGGCACAATGGTATCATTCCAGAAGGGAAGGGTGCGTTGAATTGTAAGCTTCAACGACTCGCAAGCTGGGAATTCCTCTTCTTTAAGATCCTTGGCATAGCGCTCATCTTTAACAATATTATCATAGTAAGGGTGGTCTTTTTCCATTGGTGGTGGAGGCACATCAAAGCTTCTTCTCCAAATAGCAACTTGTTCATTGCCATACTTAGCAGCAGTGTCTGCCTTATTCAAGCCAGTCAATGCACCATAATGACGCTCATTCAATCTCCAGTTAGCTTCAACTGGAATATCTTTTTGCCCGAGCTCAGTCATAATGGAGTTTGCAGTCATTTGAGCCCTGAGCAGAACAGAGGTGAAGACTTTATCGAACTTAATGTTAGCATTCTTCAAAGCAACACCAGCACTCTTCGCTTCCTGTTGACCTGAAATGTTTCATGAGTTTAGAGGTCACTCAAGGTGATTCCCAGTGAATTTTTCAAATGTACCTTGTTCACTAAGTTTCGCGTCGAACCAGCCGCAGAATAAATTCTTCTGATTCCACTCGGACTCGCCATGGCGAACCATTACAATAGTGTATTGGGCCATTTTCAATACTCTTTGGATCTTCGAACGATGTGAACTTGCCGACACTTTGAATTTGACTGATCAATCTACGCGAATCTACTGAGAGTAGATCCTTGAACGATGATAACTTATCACCAACGTGCAGTACTTACTTTTGATAATACTATCCGGAATGCGTAGCAGCAATACTTATAGGTTACAAATCTGTTATTTTCAAATTTTCTCTGCCTTTTGTTATTCAAACTTTGCAGTTTTTTGAAAATCCCTAACGGAGAATGGCTTTAATAGGAATTAATAAATGATCACATACTCGTAAGATGGAGCAAACGATCTCCATGCAATAGTATATTTAGTTGCATAACACTACTTTTATAACTCAATAAATTATACTTAAACCAAACTCTATTCTTCTTACATGTGTACTGCTATTTCATGTACCATTTAAAAACATATCTTAATAAATCATGAAATTATTCAAAATTTGCTACTTTTTAAATTATTTTCTTAATTAATGAAAACAATTTCTGGATTGGATGTATTGACTAGTAAACTATTTAGAGTACAAGCAGTTTTTCGCGGTCGGGGAACCGGGGTAAATTACCCAAAATGGGGTAAAAATGAAATGAAATTTCATCTTACCAAACTCAGAGAGCGGTTCTCTGACTACTTTCCAGATCTTGATGTACAA